AATCAGAAATTACTGACCTAACCAAAAGCAGATTACTATAGCTACTTGTACTGAGAAAAGATAAAATTGAAAAAGCTGAACAGATAAATAACAACAGAGATTAATGGACAATGAACAAAATAACAAAATAACTGGTCGTAAGCTAGTAATGAGGGAGGCAGCTTTGAGTCACAAACATCATGGCCTGTAAGTACCCCTGGCCTCTTGTTATTTGACTTTATTACCTATGGGTCAAAGTATTTACCATAACATCGAAGAAGCCAAAAACAATGCTTTTAGAATGGAAAAGTTCAAAGCAAACTCTCACTTACCTTCCCTGTTAGAATTGAGGGAAATTCAGTATCAAACTTGTTGCTCAAGCCAAACCTTAAAAACAAAGACAGAACAAAATATATTCTACCCAGCATATTTAACTCTTTCCCTTAAAAAAAAAAAGTTACAGCCATGCATTTTTCTTTTCATCTTGTGACTTAAAAAACACATCCTGAAAAAAATTTTGTGTTAATTATTGAAAATAAATCTTTGACTATTAATCTAAACAAATAGCAAAAGCAAGCTTAACATGAGCAAATGTTAAGAATGCAGTCTAACTAGACCCACAAATGGGATTAAAATAATAAATTAGAGAAACACTAAGACAGAGCTAACAATACCATACTGAAACATTTCTGCTAAACCACATTTCAGCTGATAACTGCTGAAGCTGGATGATGGGTAGTGTGTGGCAATGTATTATAACATTCTATTTTTGTGTATATATGAATTTTTTTTCTAATACAAAGTTACCCTGCCTTTGAAATTATGTTGTTGTTGTTGTTGTTGTTATGTGCCGTGGAGTCGGCCCCGACTCATAGCGACCCCTCCTTGGGTTTCTGAGGCAGTTTCACTACGGAAGTAGGATTGCCCAACCTTCCTTCCGAGGAGTATAGACTTCAAATTGAAATTTGTCAAAAGTTACTATTCAGATGGGAGCTCTGGTAGCATAGTGGCTAAGGCACTTGACTGCTAACCAGAAGGCTGGCGGTTCAAACCCACCAGCCACTCCTCGGAAGGAAGATGGGGCAATCTACTTCCGTAGTGATACTGCCTCGGAAACCCAAGGAGGGGTCGCTATGAGTCGGGTCTGACTCGACGGCATATAACAACAACAACTATTCAGATACTCAAAAGGTTGTTCGATATGACTGGCTTTCATGCACATGCTGAACTGGTTTTGAGGAAACAGATTCCTGCCTTTAAAGCCCCACCTCTCTCAAGTACACTTGTTGAACTCTGTACTAAGAAGTAAAAATGAATTTTATGAGCACTCATTTACTTACTTGTTGATTTCAGTAGGGATAACAAAGATCACTGCCTCCAGGTTAAACTATATAATAAAAACAAAAAACCAAACTCACTGCCATCAAGTTGAGCCCGACTCAGAGCAGCCCCCTTTGGGTTTCCAAGGTGGTAAATCTTTATGGAAGCAGATTGCCCAGTCTTCCTTCCGTGGAGTGGCTGATGGGTTTGAGCCACCAACCTTCTGGTTAGCAGTCAAATGCCTTAGGCACTACGCCACCAGAGCTCCTTAAATTATATAATAGTCACTACAATTTTATGTTAGTGGATGTAAGCAAAAATACACTAAAATTTAGTGAGAACTCTTTGTGCAGTAACAATAACAATAATCATCAATTGTGTCCTTAGTAAGGGCCAGAACCTATGCTAGGCACTTTAAATATATTACTTCTAAACTTGACAACCACTCAGGAAAGTTATTGTCATATTTATTGCATAGACAATGAAGCTGGCAATCCGAAATAATTAATCAATTAATTAAATTACTGGCCCAAAGTCAAATGGGGGGAACTAAAATTCAAATACTGACCCCAAAGTTCTTTCTGTGCTAAATTAAGCTCCTTGACAGCACAGATTGTAGCTTATTTATTTTGCTATCTTCCATTATGCCTCACAGCATAAGGAAAAACTTATTTAATAAGTGTATACGCCTAAGGCATTTGACTGCCAACCATAAGGCTGGCAGTTCAAACCCACCAGCCACTCCTCGGAAGGAAGGTTGGGCAATCTACTTCCATAGAGATGCCACCTTGGAAACCCAAGGAGGAATCACTATGAGTCAGATCTGACTCAATGCCAGTGAGTTTGGTTTGGTTTTTGGTACTATACTGCTTGATTCAATTGATTTATAGCACTTTGGCCTTAGGGTCCCTTTAAAAAAATGTGGGTATAAGGTTCTTAAAATAGACTCCAATAGCCTATTAAAACTCTTTATGGGAATATCATATGCTCCTTGCCTCATGAGAGCTCGGGTGGTGTAGTGCCTAAGGCATTTGATTGCTAACCAGAAGGCTGGTAGTTCAAACCCACCAGCCACTCCTTGGAAGGAAGGTTGGGCAATCAATCTACTTCCATAGTGATACCGCCTCGGAAACCCAAGGAGAGGTCACTAAGAGTCAGAATTGACTCAACGGCAGTGAGTTTAGTTTTTTGGTTTCAGGTGGTGTAGTAGTTAAGGCAGTGGCTGCTTACCAAAAAGGTTAGTGGTTCAAACCCACCAGCCACTCTGTGGAAGAAAGATGAGGCAGTCTGCTTCCATAAAGATTTACAGCCTTGGAAATTCAGTGGGGGTCACTATGAGCCAGAATTGGCTCCATGGCAGTGAGTTTGGTTTTTTTGATTGCATCATTTATCCTTATAGCTCCTTTTCAAAGACCCAAGCCAGTCTTATGCAGAGACACTCTATACTTAGCAGCAAGTAACAAGGTACACACCTATACATACAGTTAGTATACTTTGTATGTTTAAAATGTATTTAAAAACAAATTGTGTTTTAAAGTAGTGGAGAAAATTTATAAACAATTATGAAAAGACTTTAATTCCATTAAAAAATACTTCATTACTTCTGTTGTTCAGGTTTCAGTACAAGTAATGAGAAAATGACAAAGACATGGCCCTTTTAACACTGTATAGACACAGGAGTACAGCCAAACTTAAAACAAGATAAGACACCCTGTACATGAATATTTTCATGCTTACTTTCAGCCAATGTTTGAGAACTTGATACTCTAGTATCAAACATTTATTTGTAATCATGTGTTAACTTAGGAGCTCTGGTGGCATAGTGCCTAAGGCATATGAGTGCTAACCAGAAGGTTGGCAGTTCAAACTCACCAGCCACTCCTCAGAAGGAAGATTGGGCAATCTACTTCCGCAGTGATATCACCCCCGAAACCCAAGGAGGGGTCGCTATGAGTCGGATCCAACTCGACAGCAATGAGTTTGGTTTTTTTGGTGGTAACTCAGCAATCAATAACACCACAAATATTGAATAGAGTAACAGTTCATTTAAATCATTATTTAGCTAAATATATGTCACTAGTCAAAGCTCTGGTAGCATAGTGGCTAAAGCGCTTGACTGCTAACCAGAAGGCTGGCAGTTCAAACCCACCAGCCACTCCTCGGAAGGAAGGTTGGGCAATCCTACTTCCGTAGTGATACTGCCTCAGAAACCCAAGGAGGGGTCGCTATGAGTCGGGGCTGACTCGAGGGCATATAACAACAACAACAACAGTCAAAAAATGGTAATTACTATTTTAAAATACTAAATTTTCATTGTGTAACACAGAGAAGTGTATGAAAGCTTTGTTTTTGTTTCAAAGAGAGCTCTACTTATACATTTTGTCTAAATGCCTTTAGACGTAATGTTAATAACATACTCTTTACCTTTTTAGATATTGCTACCATTATAATTTGGCCAAACTTCCACTCCTATAGTAGATACCAAATATACAGTGGGATAGAGATGTATCCCTCAAAATGTACTAGATATCTTCACTGCTTTAAAAATTCTAACATTAAAATAGAGATTAATGAAGTAGAGAATAGAGAAATAACAGAATCAATGAAACCAAAAGTTGGTTCTTTGAAAATAGCAATGAAACTGATAAAACTTTAGCTGACTGACAAAAAAAGTGAAGATGCAAATAATTAAAATATGAAATGAAAGTGGTAACATTACAATTTATCCTACAGAAATAAAAAGGATCATAAGAGAATATTATGAACAACTGTATGCTATTAGATAACTTAGATGAAATGGACAAATTCCTAAAAACATATAAACTACATAGATTGTCTCAAGAAGAAACAGAAAACCTCAAATGAAAGGCACCCAAACTGTAAAAGAAGTAAAACTAATTACAGTCACATGATTTTCTATATAGAAAATCCCAAAAATTCCACAAGAAAGCTACTAGACCTAGTAAATTAATTCAGGAGAGCTGTAGGGTACAAGATCAATATATGGAAATCAGTTGTTTTACTATACACCAGCAATTAACCATCTGAAAAGATAATTAAGAAAACAATTCCATTTATAACAGTATCAAAAGAGTAAAATACCTAGGTATAAATTTAACCAAGGAGGTTAAAGAGTTTTACACTGAAAACTATAAAATGCTGAGGAAAGTAATTAAAGGAGACCTACTTAAAGATTGGGAGCTCTGGTAGCACAGTGGCTAAGGTACTTGACTGCTAACTAGAAGG